TCATGCCTGGCCTTTTTTATGAAAGTCAAACATTAACAAAATAGGAACAAAAGCAGAGCCTATCTCAATGAACTGTTAATATGCAAAGCACATGAACATTCAAACGTCAACATCAAGTTTAAACTTCCATGTTCCTTGTAGAAGCTGTCCCCTGCTTTTAAGGAGACTGGCGATCGGTGTCACCTAGATGTTTCCTCTATACCTTCTGAGTGCCAGGCAGATGCTTCCTAACTTCCCTTCTGTGGGTTAGGGACTCTAAATACTCAAGGACCAGAGTGTCACTTCCACCCACCCAAGCCAGGCAAGTTCCCACAAAATGACAAAATGAAAAAGCCCTTTATACCACCAAACAAGAAAATAAAATCACAGAAACCAGGAAAGGGATGACTATGCTCCAACAACCAAAAACAGAAGTGTCCAGCAACAATGAGGAAAGTGTAATTAGGCTTGGGGTCTAGCCACACAGACCTGCCACACTCCCATCAAAAAAAGCACTGGTTTCTTGGAAATACCCGAAGGTAAGCTGGAGAGAAGGCCTGGTGCATGGCATGGACTCTCAGAACAGGCACAAGTCTGGCTGCAAGGAGTCTCAAAACATCTTCCATTCACAATGCCAGTTCTGAAGGCGGGAAACTGGTATGCCTCCTCTTTGCCAGGCCCTTGTTGCCTTTCATAGAAGGCAGCTCTCCGGAAGGGGGAAAGGGACATGGGACTGTGGTCTTTGAGGCCCGGCACTCTTCCAGAGAGTGGGTCAGGACTGTCTTCCTAGGGGGAGGCGTTCTGAGGTCAGCCCTTCTGTGCTCTGTAATTAAACACACTCAGGAGGTTGGGCCTAGCCTCCCCATAAATAACAGAAGTTAATGAAATGTTCAGAACTAGTGTTGACTGCCAAGTTTTACAGCTGTCTCTTAATTGTTTGGGCATGAGAAAATTCTGTGTGTGTGAAAGAATTATTTGATAACCAGGGTATAGTTCCTAAAATAATTAAAAACTGTAATCTTGTTTTGAAATACAGAAAAGTTGCTTGGTAAATGTGCCCTCCTACCTAAGTAGGCAAATCAAAGAATGCTGAGTTTGGGTATTTTGTTGCCTTGTGTGAATATTACTCATAAGAGCAGGGACTGGTTTGACAAAAACAATTATTAAGAACTAAACGTCTGAATGGACTTGCAGCGCTGTGCAGGGTCCTGTTCCTCAGAGTGGGCCATGGTCTCCCTTCCCAGCCCAGTATGAGGGAATCATGTCACAGGACAACGAACTTGAGAGGCTTCAGTTTTAATAAATATTCAGGCACAGTAAGCATACCAAGTTTATATTAAAATTAACCTGGCACTATTGAACAGAGTGCAAATGGGGACATCCTGAGCTATATAGCTAGCCCATAGGGCTCTGATGCACTTGATGGAATGTTTAAAATCTTTGTTCTTGAGTCCCACTTCTTACAGCAATACTGATTAAGGTGATGGCTGGACAACAGCAGGGCATTCCTCTCCTGTACCATCAGAAGTCTGCAAGCACAGATTGTGAGTAAACAGAATCAAACAGGACAAAGAAATCCCGTTTTTAATCTGAGAATTCCATCTTCAAAGTCTTGATTACATATTTTTTGAGACCAATCACGTCTGACTGAGCTGCTTTCGACTTTTAGTTCCTTCGAACTTGGTTCATCATGAGTTCTGGTTGCATTTCACAATCAGGTCATAGTCTTGGTTAAATCTTTTTTGGATATAAATGCCTATAACCAAAGCATAGTGAAATATTTGCCATCCTTCACTCTAGGAACCCTAAGGAAAATTTGGAGGCTTTAATTGGATAATTCACTAGTAGTTTTTTCTGAGTAGAACTTTTTAGTCTTTAGTTATAAAGATAATCTTTTAGGCTCTCTCTTATGTAAAATCAACCATTTAGACTGAGAAGAATCAAGCTTTTTTTTGTTTTGTTTTTTAGTAAAAGACAATTTACCATGTTGGCACATGCCAGGCAGTTCAGCACCTTGCTAATTCTTTATACCCTCAAGATGTAAGAAACGTATCTTCAGCAACCCAATATCTTAAACTTCATTCACAAACAAACCTAAGGGTTATCCTTCACCTAAAAAGTCATGTATCATGAGTTCTACCTGAGTATTTTCATTTATTCAGCTGCACCACACTTAACTCCACTGGTGTGGCTGATACCCTTCACACAGTTTCAGAGACAGAAGCTCCTAAGACCTAAAGAAGCTTGGTGACAATCTGTCAAAGCTCCATGCTGGGAACTGCTAGGTCTCCTCTAGGGTCCCTGGCCTGGTTCTAAGCTGCCACTCCTCTCACCTGGCCCTCCCACCTCCTGCCCTCCATTCCCCACTCCATGCTGTCTGTTCTCAGAGGCCCTTGTCACATCAGCTAGAGGGATGCATCAACATCAGAGGGTCTAGGCCCAGGATGTGACTCAGTAGAAGTATTCAAGGCCCTGGGTTTGTTCCCCAGAACCCACAAAACAAACTTCCTCTCCTTTGCTCAGAAATGTCCAATGTCTTCCCATTTTCTTGGAGTACAAGACTTTAGCACTGACTCCTGCACCAGTGCCCCAGCATTCCTCCAAGGTACTATCTTGGGACTCCATCCTTACGGTTCCTGCTACCAGCAACCTCTTCCTCTGGAGGACCAACCCTCCCCCCTTCCTCCCTCTTTCCTTCAGAGCTCTTCTCAATGCCACTTTACCCAACTGTCCTACTTAAATAGCAGCCTCCTGCACTCCCTCCCTCCCTGCCTTGCTTTCCTCCAGACTCTTTACTACCTGCATCATTGCACAGTTACCTTCGTCTGCCTTTCCTCACTAGAATGTTTTCTCAACAATGTGATCCTCAGTTCCTGGTCAACAACAGGCACTCAAAACTTGCTTTAGAGTATGCTGGGTCCTCTTCTTGGGAAGGTGTGTGAACCAGTTTACTAATCTGCACAATAATTCTAGATACACATCATCATGGTTATCATCATCATCATCATCTCTGATGAAGACATTAAAGCATGCTACTATCTGTAGTAACAGGCAAAATTTAAACCCAGGGCACCAGCCCTTTACAATCCCCATAATATATTGCACCCTTAGTTAATAGCAAATAATTACCTTAGTGCCTTTCCCTACACTAGACTTAGAAATTCAGATAATCAAAGCATGACTTCAAAAATACCAAGTTTCCTATAATTGTCTAATATCTTAGTATAATAGTTGTGATTTTTTTTTTCAGTTCAGACTAGTAAACAAGAGCAAAACAGGAAGCACCTCACTTCAGCCTGTAATTCTGAGAGTCGCTTCACAAAGGCTCTCTAGCATGCTCGGGTAATTCTCCCTACACCACGGAGATTACCATAATTAGTGCTAGTCTGGAAAGGTAAAACCCAAATACTAAAGAAAAGCCTCAGAGATGCCAGACCCCACAGACGACCCCTTTGGGACTGTACCAATTCGCTCATGCCCCTTGCTTGTTGGTGTGGTGATCCACACAGTGCACTGGGTAAGCCGAGGATGTCAGCTAATAGAGGGCATGTTGATGCAGTCTTATCTGAGAAGTTACATAATAACCCTAGTGTGGGATTCCATAAAAGAGTGTGACCCTTACAATGAAAGAGAAGTGTTCTCCCTGGGAAGTATTCCACAAAGAATGTCGGGCGAGTTTCGGTGAGGAACTCATTACTCCAAACTAAACAAGTGAAGTAAAATAGCGGAGGGCAGAGACCGTGTCCAGTTTAATTTGAGATTTGGCCAGGCACCTGCCACAGAAAGCTTCTAGGACCCGACACGGGCCTGCGCTTCCCCGGGGAAAAAAGCCTTGGTCGGGGTTCTGTGAACTCCCTCCCTGGAGTCCCGCTGCTTCTTTCTTTAGGGTCAAATATTTCCTTCTGCCACCCGTGCCCCCCCCATTCTCTCTCCTCCCCACAGAGAAACCAACCATTCCTCCCGCCCGGTTGCAATTCTTTAAAAAGAAGCCACGCTGGATCTCCCACTTTGGAGTCCCCATCTTCTCTGGACCTCGCTCCCCACCATCCCTCTGCCCCCCAGGATGCGGAAGGAGGTGAGTGGTTAGGCTACGGGCCAGGAGGGGCAGGAGCTTCCCCAGCTCCTGTCACCTGGCCCACCTGGGCCCTCCCCGCCCCCCCTCTCCCAGGCCCACCCACCTTCTCCCCAACAAGCCACCCCCCTCCCCG